AGGCCTCTTTGGATTAATGTAGTCTTCTTCGGTCCTCAACATTGAAATGTCATGTTTATCACAAAATCAGATACTGTTTTCAAAAGAGAGTCAAATCTATCATTCTGAATCTCTTGCAACTGCTGCTTGGTTGACTTCACTAATGATAGAGCATTTAGAATGTCTCGACCTTTTCTTTGTAAATCCAATGTCAGCGAACTTGTGAGTCCCAAATTAAATCAATAACATCAATTGCAAAATCATCTTTACCATCTTTTTCAACAAATTCAAGAACTTAAACAATAGATGGAAACAACTCAACCAAACGTAAAAGTGTTTTGTAATGAGAACCTCATCAAGTATGTCTAGCTCTTTAAAGCATAATCTCTTGATTCGAACCTTTTCCCATACTAATCTCTTTACTACAAATGGATTCCTTCACTTTTTCTTGATACTCTAATGGATCATATCTTTCCGTTTGCAAGAAGCGCCAACCACGTTCAACAATAGAGATATCATATAAAAAAATCCCACCACAACATGCTTTTGACAACTGCCACAATAACTATTGAAGTTGATGAGTAAAACAGTGCACATAATATGTTGAACTCGCATGTCACTTGCACCGTCATAACATTGACCCCTAACCTTACTTAAACTCAACCCATATTCAACAAATGAAATGTAGTAAATTATGTTACATATATCTTCATATTGTTTAATACTCATTACATATTATGAATTTTAATATGAGAATAATTAATTTTGATATTGAGCAAACAAACATATGTTAATTACCTCTGTGTATGAATATTATTTCAAAAAACACTTTGCAATAGTAAAATATAGATTATTGTAGGCTAAAGGGTCAAATAGGCCCTTGAACTGACTTAAAGTGTTCAATTAGCCCCTTATATAGGAGGTTCTGCCCGGCCGTCGTAAATTGGGGTGGTTCCCAGTGGAATATTTTGATGAAATTTTTTGACCATCTTCTTCATTAAGTCTAGTTTACCCATACTAAATTTCAGCTAAAAATTCAATTGGGAAGGCAGACAAATGATTTTCCGAAATGTACTGCGCTGTTTAATTTCACAAATATCTTCAAAAAATCATTTGACTGTCTTCCCGGTTGAATTATTAGCTTAAATTTGGTATTAGTAAACTAGACTTAATGAAGAAGATGCTCAAAAAGTTTCATCAAAAAATTCCACCAGGAACCGCCCCAATTGGTGACAGCCGTGCTGAACCTCCTATATAAGGGGCTAATTGAACACTTTCAGTCAGTTCAAGGGTCTATTTGACCCTTTAGCCATTATTGTATTGTGCGGTCAATATAACTCGAAAGGTGCTTGAGAGTGCAATTAGTATTGAAGATGTTGAGAAGCAGGATATTGAATTTGTGAAGAGAAATATCAGAACAACATAGTCACTCACTACTCCTCGGGTTTTCACCATAAAAAAATCATGTATTGTAGTGTGCAATCATCTTAAACAAATTATTTCCCAAGTAATTGTGAATAATAACACTAGTCTTTTTAGAGCCGTAAACATATCAAAGAAAGGTGCATCTTATTGATCTGCTATGAGACCTTTTAGACACTCCAAGTGTGGTATTAAAGGACAAAACACACACACTAGAACACATGAGGTGGTAAGAGGAATACCTAAGGAGTTAAAACGAGTCGGAATATAGAATTTCGTTATTATGATTCGAAGAAGACATTCTAATAATCAAGGGGCTGCTTTCCAAGGTCACACAACTCATAATCTAAACATGAAAGACTTGAAAATTTTGGGGCTATATGCTAAAATTTTGAGAAGTTGGGATGACCTAAACGATTGTGTAAGGATATTACCGGTGATGCCAATGCACGAAGATTGGTCAAAGGGTGACGATGGTTCACAAATATTCACCCTCAACGCCAATTATCTTCTCGATGCATTGATTCTTTACAATCACAAAGGAAAACGACATAGAAAAAATAAAAGGGCATGTAGTTTTGCAAACCAAGACAAAGTTAAAACGGATATTAGGAACGTACAAGACTATGATTATTTAATGATATAGATGAAATTGGGAGTGCTTGCCCAATGACCGTGGCTGAAATTGGGAGGCAATTGGGTAAGTGGATTATGAAAAATAGGACTTGGTACTAAGTATTACAAAATAAAAGTTGGGGATTACTAAATATATGGCCTGAGACACAAACATCAATCACATTGTTTTTACTTTATTATTTCGCGTGTCATTCAAAGTAGATAAAAAGTTATAAGGTACGAGGAGAATAGTAGCAAGAGCAATGAAGTAATAGCTATAATAATTAATTAATATTGTTTAAATTAATATCTTGTAGAATAAAGTATACATTACATTCAATAGCAACCATTTCGATTTTTTCTATAGGTGAAATAGTAAAACAACAATTGTTTAGTGGTAGAGGCTCAAGTCCAACTCCTTGATGTGATAAAACCCTAAGGTATAAATATATGTTTATTTCCAGCAAATATGATAATTCTTATTTTATATCCCTGTAATTTTTTGTTTATTTTTATCTATATAATTTATTTCGTTTGATATCCAAACAACCATCAGTCATCACTAATAAATATCCTATTATTCTTTATTCATGGCATTAAAAAGTATGATATTTTTTCAAGAAGACCATTAAAACCTATTCTTAAAATGTAAATGGTTAATTTCACATCATTTTATAACCACTCTAAACTTTTCAAGAGGCTTAAAAACAATGAAATTAAAAAGTTTCTAATAGATTCATTCAAATGACATTAATTTTTTCTGACTGGAGATGACTCAGAGTCTCATAGTAACAGAGGGACTAAATAAAATGGTGTTTATTACATAGATGCAAAATAAAAGAATAATTTCAGGGATCTAAAACAAAATATGTTGTGTTTGCAGGGATTAAAAATGTAGTCAAGCCAAGTTTCAATCTTTTCTTATTCTCTTTGCACGCTTTTCCCACACAGGTAGTAGAATAAAAGTTCTTTCTTCATATAAGAATATTTTTAAAAAAAAATGATGAACCAGACCATCTACAAGCAACTCGGAAACTCCAGCCAATCAGAACCAGCATGCCAGCGGCGTAGCTCGAATGCGGTCCTGTTCTCCCCTCAATTGAACCGTGGACTGACCGGTATGAGTATTGGAACCAGGCCAGTCCCCCCTTGAACATAGTGCTTGTCTTTATATTTTTTCATAGCAGTTTCAATTAAACTGGAATCAATGCACGATGACTAGCTATGAGATTATTAAAACCATACTCCATTCTCACAAATTTTTACAAAATCCTCTTATTTAGCCGTCCCATGGTCTCAAAAAAATGCCAAATTTCTTTGTTTAGCCTGTTCCACGCTTTCAAAAACTTAGTCACTTCTATTTAAAGTAATAAAATATATTGTTATTTCATCTACACGAATTTCAATCACACAATTTTTTACTTTATTATTCTACGTAACATTCAAACTTCATTAAATTTTATGGAATGGGATGAGTAGCATATCATGAAACAACGAACCGGATATGCAGGGGGTGGGTGCCTCAAGTGGAATTGAACATCAATACACGATTACTTGTGAAGTGGGAGTGTGGTGTCTCTCATTGTTGTGTGCCCTCCACATCCTTGCCCAAATTGAGTTGTCCTTTATTAGTTAATTATAATAACTCTGTTAACTAGCCAAAATATGGGGGGAATGGTAAAATAAATTGATGGTTAAGATTTAAGAATGTGCCCTTCTTAATTTAACACAGAATAAAGGTTAAAGATAGATAGATAAGAAATAATTACATAAATATGACCAAAATAAAGATGATTTACAAAAATATGATTCATTACTAGAGTAGTAATGAAATCATAGTAATTCATATTCAAGTTTTGAACTTTAGTTACCACAGCACTACGTTGTAGTAATGAATAGTCATATTTATGTAAATAAGTTTTATTTTAGTAATATTCTCGTAAAAAACCCGAAAGATAAGTGTGAAATATCCTAAAAATATGTGGCGTTACACTGTTACCATGGTCATATATATTCAGATCAAATTTATGTCACTGGGGTGTGAGGTCCAAGTCATGATTGAACCTTCTCCGGCTATTTTTATATATTGGATGTCCATTGGGATGTGATCCGTTTTTGCAAAACTCTTCAATTGTTACAATTGAGCTTTTAATCATTTATTATCATTTTATGTATACCGTTCACTAGAATAAAGCGAAATAAATTGTTTGTGCTTCTTTATTACTACGTATAAAACAACATTTAATCTATGTAATTTTTACACGATTTTCAATTTGGATCATTCAAAAAAGGTCTTACTATACTTTAGTATAGGAATAAAGTTGTGTACATCCGAACCCTTATCACAACATAGGAGCCTTTGCGATATCCTGGTAATGATGATAATAATGATGATATATTTACTTCTTATATGATGTTTAGGTTTATGAAAGTTAGCTAATGTTTTTGACAGAATATCATTCGTATAATTCAACATAATTCATTCATAAAAATTCTATATACTCCCTCCGTATTGCTATGTTTGCTACACTTTCTCTTTTGGGATGTGTTTAATAGTATGTTACACTTCCATTTTTGGTAAGTTTACTTTTAACATAATACTCAATTACTCTTACTTTTTCTAGTTTTTATGTTCTCTTTCATACTTTTACGCATTATCTCCTACTTTTTATACACTATTCATTACTCTTACTACTTTACTCCTCAAAAAATGTGTCAAATCTAATGTAGTGAACATAAAAATAAGGAGAAAGTATACAAGTGTTTGGGGACTACTTTAAAAATCTACCTATTAAAAAAACATCATTTACTTTTTCAAGGAAATAAGCAAAAAGTTTGGTAAGACCAAAAACAGAAAATCTGGAAGATATGCTTTAACAAGACATTGGAGTACTTCTATTCCCACAAACACAGCACGAGTAGGTGACAATTTTTATTGGATAGTCAGTCATCTAGCATATGGAAGAAGAAGAAGGAGAAGTATATGCAACCTGTCTTTACTTAAAGCCAGACCAATCAAGCGAGCAAGTAAGAACTCATTAAGTAATCATGGAGGATCTGAAGAAAACAATCGAAGAGATCTTCAATGGCGTGAACCTGAGAGTGAGTAAGGTGGAGGTAGAGATGAGCGCGAAGATCGAAGCCATGGAAGCCAAACTCGAGCAAGCCACCGAGAGAATGAACGACGCGATGCTGCGCCACACATTCCCCGACGAGATCCGCGAATCCTTTCCCCGCTTCAACGGATCGGATCCGAGAGGCTGGATCATCAAGTGTTTGAGGTTCTTCCGGACCAGCCCCCGCTTCACCGAGCAGCAGAAGACGGTGTACGCTTCCCAGCATCTCGAGGGCCAAGCCGAGATCTGGTTCCAGAACTTCGCGAAGGAGGACGAGGAGGTCATGGAATGGAAGGGCTTCGTGAGGGCCGTTCTGAGGAGGTTCGACGAGCGAGACTTGTTTCAGGATTTCAAGGATCTGAAACAGACTTCATCTCTGAGGAGATACATTGATGAATTTGAAGCGATAGTTCCTCTGGCGTTGATCATACTTGACGGATCTAGAGAGAAATTTCTTCTGGAGTGCTTCATCTGTGGCCTGAGAGAAGAGTTTAGGGCCAAAGTGAGAATGGTGGAACCTTCTGACTTTCAGGAAGCAGCCAGGGTTGCTCTGCTTCAAGAGAAAACCAGCCTGGCAATAATGGCGGAGTGAGAGCGAGCTGAGCATTGAATAATTGTGGCGGGAATCAATGAACATTTTAAACCGCCTCTTTTCATCCCTTTCTTTGACCTTTCTTTGAGCAAGTGTTTGGTACATATTGGTGACCAAAGATGTATCAAATCATAGTATCATATAATCATGAATAAATTAAATTTCCTCATTTCCTTAATATGACATGATACAAAGATTAAGAATTAGACCAAATATTATAACAATTAAAATCACATAAAGAATAATGCACCAAATCTCTTTGTGATATCAAAGTCGAGCGTATCAGTCTACGTGATCTAAAAAATGCGTCAAATCTCATTTATGTTATTATTATTCATGCACACAATTCATGTATGAACAAATTTAATTGTCAAATAAATAATGTCTAATTAATATTTTTGTATAATTTAAAGATTTTGACAAAATTTATTAGTCATAGTATAAAAAGTAATTTCCAAATTATTAAATTTGTTCATAAAATGGGTTATGCGCAGTAATAATTACTAGCATAACACATGAGGATTTGATGCATTTTTTAAATAATAAAGCTACTAGCATGGGTAACTCAACGGCTCCTTTTGGTGGCTCCTTGTGCACACCAGGCCCTGAACCACCTCACTCAAAAACTGTTTGAGGTCATACCGTGACTTACTCCTTCACCATTCTGTTGGGGTGTTGGGGCACCTAGGGTGTTGGCTTTGGTGTATGAAACCCGAATTACATAAGAAATTAAAAACTAAGAAAAGTAGTACTATGTAGTCCTTATATGATAATGATAATTTGATAATTAATAATTACTACCTCCGTCTCGTTGGAAGGTTCTCATAACAAAACGGCACAGTTATTTAGGTAATAAACAAATAAAGTACTTCGGGTATATTTTGAAAAATAATTTTAATAGGTATATATTATAATGTGTTAGTATTGATAAATGTGATGTTATAAATGTATTATTTTTAATATTTAATGACTAATTTGTCACTTAAGATTGTTAATTGTTTCCTAAAATGGAAATGAGAACCTTCTAATGGGACGTCCAAAAAAGGAAAGTGGGAACCTTCTAACGGGACGGAGAGAGTAAAAGTTAAAAAAACATGAAAGAGATTGAGATAATAAAAAAAAATAGGAAAGGAGAGAAAATATAGAAGGGAAAGTTAGAAGAAGAAGAAAAGGAATCTGATTCGCTAGACACGAAACAGACAATTTAAAGCCTAAAACAATCGGAACTGAAATACTGTCTATCAAATGTACTAAAGATGTCCAAATTTACAAACCAAATCTACTCAAACAAAATAAAAAAGTACTATTAATGTAAAATAAAATTGAAATAAAGTTTTTCCACATAATTCTTCATGGCATGGAGGTGGTTCTGGAGGAGGATGAACTCTACCAATGTCTATGCATGATAAACACAATAATTACCTCTTTTTACTTAGGTGGTTATATTTATCTGTACAAAATATTTAAAGAGAAAACGGAGAAAAATCCCAAAATGAGCAAAGAATGTGAAGAACGGCTAGAAGCGGCAAACATGGGGTCAAAAGTCAAAAGGGGGTCGAAAACCGAAACTTTTGGATCAACCGCGGATGCCGAAAAGGGAACAAAAAATGTTCATTGTGAAAACACAGCAACCAGCGCCAGTTGGGTCGATTTCCACACAAAACACAGCGAAGTGGAGCCTATTCTTGATGGGAAAAACTTACCTTCCATATGACCTGATCAAATATTTTCTTCATGCCTAATTGTTGGGCTCGAATAGACTAAAAGATGTCATTCTTTAGCATACATAAAGCCCTCAATTCATCAAACAAGATCATCAATCCATCCTTGCACCTTAAAATTCAGTTTTTATATTCTATTTTTGCATTCTCTTGAAGTGTTGGAGAAGGGATCATTTCTCTCCTCTACAATTGATTCTAGGTAATATTTCTTGTATGTTATTGTATTTCCTTATTATTAGTTACTCTTTTGAATTAGTATGATCTCAAGAGGCTAATTCCGTAGCTAAGGCTAGGGATGAAAATCTATGCTCACTGGGTGTTTGATAAAAGTTCTAAACCAATAAGTTGTGATATGTCTGTCCATTATACCTCGATTATTTATGATTATGGTGTACAACATAAAAGTATGTTAAATTTAGATTATGCTTGTAATTGATGTTGAAGTCTAAACTATGAACATTAAAGGATAAACATATATAGTACCCAAAATAGAAATAAGTCTGGTCTTATATGGTACAGGTGTGATGTCTTGATATTCAATGAGATTTTCGGTGGATGAATGAAAGCCGTAACAGGACTTACACATAACGAAAACCGCGTTCTCGTTGTCTTAACCGGAGTTGGAATATATTAGCGACACCGTATTTATAATTATTGGGAAAGAACTGGTATTATAGATACGAAGTATAATACTCATTTTTTTAAACCGATTAAAAAAACAAAGTTTATTTAAAGAACAAAGTTCCTCAAAAGTTACATCATGTATACGATTTGCACTCAATACTCAAACTTTATAATATCAATCATTTCCCCGTGGATCGACCCAATATTTACCATATTTTATTACTACATCGGCACTTGTATGCTTGCAAGTTTAGTCCAATCAAATTTTTAGCGTCGTTGCCGTGGAAATACAATGTGTTATTATATAGTCTAAACGATCAAACAAAATCCTGACTTTTTCCATTGCTCTTCACTTGTTGTGGTACTTTTCATTTCATGTGTGTAGCTTACTTTTGTGTTTGAATGCATTTCAAAAATCAAGGCTCTAAACATCTTGAACCTCTTGATCTTGAAATAGAAAGAACTTTCAAACACAACTAGAAGAAAAGAAAAGAAGCAAAAATGATGTCAACACTCAATGAAAGGAAGAGACCCCTGATTGCCGCCACTCCCTCATGTATTGTCCTAAGGGAGGTGGCTATGGACTATGGAATGAAAAATAGCTACTTCAATGGTATGCATCAATTTCATGGTCATCCTGAAAAATCCACTTAACTTCATCATTGAGTTCTATGGATTCGTCCAAAGAATCCCTAGGCATGGTCTCACAGAAGACGACCTCAAATTCAAAAGTTTTTCTTACACCTTGAAGGGGGCGGCAAGGGGTGGTTCTTGGAGCAAAAAAACATTTTTTTATTGTTTTCTATTCTTTTATACTTTTTCTTTTTCTGTTCTGGTTATTTTGTTTCCACATAGAATTTTTTGATGATTTTGTTTCCACATTTAGTTTTTTCAGTCTTCCAGACCAATAGTCCAATATGATGAAGAGCCTATTGCGTTTCTAAGAACTTTACTACTTCAGTCGAACTAGATGAATAATTGATTCACTCTTGGTAAATTTATTCGAATAGCTTAGTTGAGGGATCCGACTATCCGAGTCCATAATTCTATTGCCCATACTAAGTGTCCAACTATTAGCCTTTGTTTTTTGACTTATCAATTTTATTGAGAGTACTAGTTTTTTTATAATACACGAGCTAAACTGGTTAATACGGAGTACTACCGTAAAATAAAGAGTAAGACTAGACATTGGTTGAAAGCCTGGAGAGAAGCCATTTTAGTTTTTTCCATATAACTTTTCCTTTACTTTATTAATTAATAAAATATATTTTACATATAGTTTTTCAGAGGGCTGTTCCTGTACATATGGATGTACAAGAAGCTCCGTACGGACAAAGCCATCCGAGGCCCTTCCCGGTGGAATTTTTTGATGAAATTTTTTGAGCATGTTCTTCAAGTCTAGTTTATCCATACCAAATTTCAGCTCAAAATTCGATCGGGAAGGCAGTCAAATAAATCCGGTAAACATACTGCACTTTATATGTGCGCAGAATGAGCCATAGTTTTCCAGGATTTATTTGACTGCCTTCCCGATCGAATTTTGAGCTGAAATTTGGTATGGATAAACTAGACTTGATGGAGAACATGCTAAAAAAATTTCATCAAAAAATTCCACCCGGAAGGGCCTCTAATGGCTTTGTCCGTACGGAGCCCCCCGTACATCCATATGTACATGATCATTCGTGACATATTCAATCCTCCGCCAATTCTGATATTTCAACTAGCTTCATCAGTTTCAATAAATTCAACCAACTCAAGCTCTAAAGCACTTTCATCTAGTGAGAAAAAAAAAGAGTAGCTCAACTCCAGTTGAAACTCATAAATTATTGGAATTGGAAATTCCAAAATTGAAACCAAAACATGGTATATCAGTGTAAAATGTTACTAGGAAAATTTATAATAACGTTTCTCACATTTCACGTTTCGGTATTACTTAGGGATTTGTAACTTATTTTATGCAAGTACGACAGCACCCATCTTTGACCTGAGGTTTTGTGCTACAGCATCAATAAACTCCTCAGTGTTCAAGTACAACTCTCTTGATACCCTGTACAAGAAGAATACAATTATATACCTTAACTTTTAGCCTAAAAACTATGTCAACAAATGTTTGCAGTTTTTATACATATTGAACCAGAATAGTTTATGTAACACTTATTGAGGAGCTGCTACTTACTTGGCTCCGTGAATCAATAATGCAAGATCCTTGGTCATCTTTCCTGACTCTACTGTCTCTATGCAAGCAGTCTCTAGGTTTTGAACAAAATCCATCAATTTCTTGTTCTCATCAAGCTTAGCCCTGCATGCAAATGAACTAAGCTCAGAATACTTTCACTAGAAATGAAGTGGATGAGAAGCAATGAGGAATAATATTTCACATTAAAAAAAATTGGCTCTTCCCACTTTCTGGGGACATACAAAGTGTCTCTTTTTTAACACAATTCACAGAGTTAAAGTGGTCTACTGAAATGAGAAGCATGAATGAGGAAAAGCAACCGCAAGTTGAGAAATCATGAAAAATAAGATTTTCACCAACTAGAGAAAATTACCTATGTCCCAGTCCTCTAGTCCATGCAAAAATGGATGCTATACTATTTGTGCTGGTTTCTTGTCCCTTTTGATGCAGTCTAAAGTGACGAGTCACAGTTCCATGAGCCGCTTCAGATTCTAAAGTCTTGCCATCAGAGGATAACTGCAGAAAACAGCCAATATCGATGCTTTTAGTCTTCTTATTTCAAATGGTAATTCCAGAAAAGTTCCAATAAATTCACCATTGGCAAGCCAATCATGATGCCTCTGTTAAAGAGTATACAAAACAGAAGCATAAGACCCAAGACAGGCTTTTTCAAAAACCAAAGTCATAAACTAAAGGAAAAATTCAC